AAATGAAATAAAATAAATAAATAAATAAAATAAGTTTCTCTCTGCCTTGATCCCAATTCTGTAAAATAGTACAGTGAAATAAATGCATGTGTAAATTGAGTCTAAGTCCAGTCTTTTTGAGCTATATGTGTGTAAACTCATAAAGCACAAAAACCAAGTGAATTTCTATTGACTTCTTGGCACTTTCTGTATGGGATCTTAGATTGGGTCTCAACCATTTGTCCTACACATGCCTTGGGAGTCATGGCAGGGAATGGTCTCACTATATTCCACCTGCAACATTTGCACCTTTACGTGGATTTCTGCTCAAGGTAGGTAAATTTCCCTACTCTCCTGAGAAGGTCTCTGAAAGCCTAAAGGCAAGGTGGCAAGCTCTTTTCTTCTTGGCTCGGCTCAGTCTTAAGTCTCAGATGGTTGCAAATATGATCTTCCAATCAAATCTTGGATAATGTAACCATCATTCCTATTCACTATTTAAGGATAAACAAATAAAATTCCATATTGAAATTATGCAAAGATAGATATGTTGTCAAAAATAGTAAAAATGCTTATTGCTGTTTTACATGTTGTAATGATATCAAGGTGAGAGAAAATTAAACACAATTTAATTCTGATCATGTTAAATGCAGTTTTACGGCCCTCCCTGGTGGCGCAGCGGGTTAAAGCACAGCACTAAGAAGCTAAAGCCACTTCCGCATGAGTTTGATCCCCGCCTGCCCTGGAGGTGACCACATGGCGTGGCAGACCTCTCCTGACCTGCCCGCTGCTCCCCTCAGCAGTGTACTATGTCGATCTTCCTGTTCTGCTCCCCACTCTGTCTCTGGTGAAGCCTCTCGCCACCCCTGAGCCTCTGGCCTGTACCCCAGTTCTGTATGCACAAATAAATAAATCTTTTTAAAAAAATGCAGTTTTACATTGCTGCAGCTCTTGATCAATTAAAAGGAAAAAATTAAACTAAAACAAACCAGTAATATTTCTTTTTTTTTTTTAAGATTTATTTTTTTATGCATACAGAACCAGGTACAGACCAGAGGTGCAGGGACAGTGAGATGATTCACCAGAGGCAGAGTGGGGAGCAGAACAGGCAGACCGATGAGTTACACTGCTAAGGGGAGCAATGGGCGGGTCAGGAGAGGTCTGCCGCACCATGTGGGTCACCTCCAGGGCAGGGATCAAACTCCCACTGAAGCAGCGGCTAGCTTACAGTGCTGCGTACTAACCCCTTGAGCCTCCCAATCAGTAATATTTCAAACAAAAATTTGTTATATTAATTCAGTCCTATGTAGAAAATTCTTAATCTTGAGCTCTTTAAATTAGCATAAATTTTAAAATGCTGTTTTCTTTTCCTGTTAATTTCTCCAGAAAAAAGTTTCTGCAAATTATAAATCTCTGATATAAGCAAAGCTAAAAATATTATAATAACACAGTTGACAAGGAACTTGTTCAATATTATAACTTAAAACATTCCAAACAACAGTCAAATTTGATAAGCAACATTAGGTCAGAACACATCAGACACTTAAGTTATAGTAATTTTTACAACATCAGTATTAACATTCTTATATACACTAAGGTAAAACATTTCTCAGAAATGAATGTTTCCCAGTAAGTTCCAATTTACCATAAATATTAATAAGTAGGTCAAATAGTACTTCTTGACAAATAGGTCAAATTTGTCTATTGTCTTTTCCATAAGAAAATGGAGAATTTTTGTGGAATATCTGAGCCACTCTACTGAGGTTCCATAAAATTTTCTCTGATCAACCAAGCAAAAGTCTACTAATTTTCCCTAATTTAGATTTCCGAGAAGTTTTGTTGTAAGTATGAGGAAAAAAACTTAACCAACATTGACTGCTAAAGCTCTGCTCAGATGCTGCGATCACAATGCTGACAATCAAAACTTAACTACTTTGATTCCATTATTGAATTCTTTATCTTCAAAACTGCTTAATTTCCTATCTCTCAATTCTACCCAACATTTAGTTTACCTAAGTCTACTTCTATGTAGCATGTACCCAACAGAAATGACACAGATAGTAAAGAAATACTTTAGATTAAATACTGCAACTATATACACATACATGTTTCAGTCCAACACATCAGTTTCCAAATTAGTTCTCACTGACCAGAAATTTTCTGGGACTACACTTCCTGGAAGCACTAGTACCAGTTTCCCTTATATTTCTGAGCTCAAAATTTCGTTAGGCACCATCCGTACCAATTGTTATAGCCCCTGGAGGCCAAAATAATTACACACAAAGGCAGAGATGTGCTGACAAACAACAAATTGACATGTGGAGAATTTTACACAACTGTAGTTTTATTCATATTTTCAAAGACAGAATTTTCTTGCTTCCTTATGAGGACAAACCCTATATTGTCTGAAGCTAGATTATTACCACCACTGCTTGGTGGAAAGTCATTTATGCTCTCATTGAAGTAGCCAGGATGTTCACCTAAACCATGGCATGTAGCTGTAAAGACAGTTTTCAAAGAGGTAAAAGGGAACATTCAAGCAGGCCCATATAAAAACTGCACAAAAATAAAAAGTATAAAAATAAAAAAGCCAAAATCAAACCAAATTCCTTTTTTTCCCATGAAGTTAAACTCAGATCCCCAAAGTGGGCATGTTGTCAACAGAAATCATATGGTGTCAGATGCCATATTACAGATCTTGGAATTTGGAAGGGGAAATGATATTTCATTAGAGCTAGGAAAGCTCTCTTATTCATTATCTCAGGGTTTCCAGTGCTGATGGAGTTAATCTTAGGGTATCCTGCAACAGAAGTCAGAAGAATATTTAAATTTTGTCTTGTTCTTAAGTAGGTATCTCAATCCTGTCACAGATTCACAAAAGCAAAGAGTTTTGTTTCCCAAGTTATCGCCTTCCTGGACTTTCCTCACTCTGGAGTGATGCATCCAGGGTTTTATGCCTGAAAGTTTTAAATACATGTGAGTGGTTAGAAAACATCACAAAGACCAGACCATTTTTCTGACAGTTGATCGTGGGTAGCTCCACTAAGCCAGGTCTTAAGTAAGAACCAATAGCCAGGTCTGAAAGAATGAAATGTTTCATCTGGAAGCATAGTGTTTCCTGAGAATCCAAAGCTATACGTTAACACCTAAAACTTTCTGAATTTATGTTCTTTTTTGATCTTACATACAATCTCAGTGGTAGTGTTCAAAACTGAAGCTTGGAATGGTCTTCAAAAAGAATTTCAAAGGGGCTTAAATATAATCCACTTCTAGGAGCCATTCACCAAAAGTGATGGACAACACCTGACCCCAATGCAGACGGGTTTCTTAATATATTTTCACTAAGGTCTTTTGTAGGGTATGATTCATTTTCTGTTTGTCCTATAAATTGTGACCTCCAGGCAGCATGTGTTTTCCAAGTAATCTGTAAGGTGTTGCTTACTTTTGGAGTGACTTTTCATACAAA